CATAAACAATTATTATTTTAAAATAGAAGAAATACTTTTTTTTTTTCAATTCTATCAAAATAAATTATGCTAATTAAAATTAAATTGAGTCTTTAATTACAATGATTCGTTTTAAAACCTTAAGTATTTAAGTGTAGTTGGTTGAGAGTTCGACTCTCACCAACAACTTGAAAACAAATATCTCCATACCCAAATTTTCTCATCTTCAAAAAAAAAAATTTATACATAGTTAATTATAGTATTTGAAAATATCATCATATATAATAATTTTAATTTGTTAATAATAACTATTAGTAATTTTATCATCTATTAACTAACAGTTATAGTTATTAATATTATTTTTAATATTAAATCCAATAAAATCAATATTTTAGAATATAATATTTAAAAATTTATATGACCATAACATTGCTTGTTTAATTAGCTGCCTATACTAATAGTAGTTTTTTTTTTTTTTTTTTTTTACATTTGATTATAGGTTATATAAGATGAGATAACTCTCTCTTATTCTCAAATTCTTCCTCATCCAATTCAAAGCTTGAATTTGAGATCTTTATTTTAAAGTCTCAAACTCTTAACCATTGAGCCACTCCTTAAAGGTTATCTATTTCTCTTGTATTCAATTAACTAATCTCTAAATTTCATTAATTACAGTATGTGCAATTAATTTTGTATAAATTTTTATACAAGATTTAAATATAATATAATCTAATATAATTCAAATAAGATTGTACTTTTTCGATATAAAAAGGTTAGAACCAACCACCAATAATAAAAGTAGCGACCCCAAGTGAACGAGCAATGTGCACCCAAAACCCTGGCCCATGAGGTTCATGTACCTATGGGAACATTTGTAAAGATTTCCTCCTTCCTCCAAAATTTCCCTATCACCATTAATAACTCAAGTTTTTTGAACATGATGTGAACTTCAGCTTGAAAAAATTGTAAACTCAGGGGCTCCTGTCCATTTAATTGGTAGTATTAAAGTGCCCCATCGGTTTATAGGAGCGCCCCATTTATCTTAACCCAAAGCCTTTTTTTATGAGGTTAATTAAAGCTTCAACTCAGATGGTAAAAGCTAGGGTGTTGAGACTTAATGGTGTCCTTCAACCTTCTAATTTAATTAGGGATTGGTTATGGTCACACATCATTGTATTATGATCATACAAAAAAA